TAAAGATACTGTCAGTCTGCAGATGCATATCTATATTAAATTATGTATATCGATACTATGCATATCGATGCAGATGCATATCGATACTATTGATAACGATGTACACAAACACACACACTACATACTCGTATACGAGTACGTAGTACTACGTACCCCAGAGCCTTTGTCATCTCGAGTCGCAAAAGCGAAGGTAGATAATCACCCAGAATTCCCATTGCATATTTATCATACATTTCTGCAAAAACGTAACATCTACACTATGTTACTTTGAATCGGCAAAACGTACTCCCGCAATCGATACAAAGAAAGTTTAAGAAACATTTACCTTGCGAATATTCAATGTCTGTCGTTATGGAAGTCTGGCCAGCGGTAACAATTTTTGTTCCAACATCCACATGCTCTCGACGCAAAGATGCGCTAAGGTATTTCACCTAAAAAGCAGCAACAGTCAAAACCAGAAACCAAACTGCAATTAAAGGCGAACATCCTAGTAAAAGAAAAATTTCCCACTGATCGTGAACATTTTTTAATATTAAGTCTCTAATGATGTATCACCTTGATTTTCAACCAAGCCGCTAATTTCCGTCTGCACAGTTTGACGAAACGATTTCCGTGAACGTCTAGAAAAGCGTACCAATAGGTATTTCAATAAGCAGGAGATATGAAATTTTTTATAACCGCGAATGAACTGGCTTTGCACTTACTTTTCATAGTGCAGATCAAATCAACTTCGTTTAGAAATACGGCATCATTGCGCAAAAGTAGTTCAACGGCTGTCCTGTACTCTGGCGAATTTACCAAACAGTCAGATAACATTTGGTCGACGGGCTGGAACAGCCGTTTCTGAAAAAATGTCCCCTGTCAATAGTTATGGCGATGGTATCATACATTTGACGAAACTTCACTAGACTTCAATCTGGAGTTAACACTAATAATATATCCCCACCCGCACGTATAAAGCTATCGGCAGTGAATATCAACTCCAAATTGAAATCCACTGTAACCATATCATGGACTCATTTTCTAGTTGTCTTGTGAATCGTTTTTTCTACGTTCGTGCTGATGATGCAGTGCATGTCGATAAGAACCTGATAAGCAGTACGCACCTGTTTAGATTTGAGCAAAAATGGAATGGCAAGGAAAAGCGGATCAACAGGAACCAAGCTGTAGAAAGATCCATCTAAGAATAAGAAACACAGTCAGTGAACCAACAAAACCAGTGCAACGTCGTTACAGCCTAACAATTAAAAATTAGGAATGGAAATCCGTTGTTGCGCTGAGTGGTTAATTCTGTTTAGTTTAAATAGCAATGACTGCTGCATTAGTGTTTCAAATCCGAAAAACGCTTTCCTCCTGCTGAAAATTTCGAACGCGCTTGGTTTACCTTCCAGGACATAATTTCCGACGAACCACGAACAACACTTTTCTTGTAGCTGAAACAGCTGATAAACTTCTCCGTTTAGCGAATCAAATGCCCATAAAGTACCAGAACCTGCGAAACAAAGAAATACCATACGCACAAACTGGTACAATAATATCTACCCTAGGTATACCCATCAGTAACCAACCATGTAATCTGGCAGGCCTTTAACAGCAAGATAGTACGTAACACAAACTTTGCAGTGGTTATACACTTTACGGTTTTACCTGTTGCAGGGTGGGGGAATTTCAGGAACTGCAGCTGCGCATCTTGACATTTGCCCACACTTGCTTCTGCTTGACTGCTTCTGATACCAGACGCGTCGGTACTTGCGGAATCACGCAGAAAGTTCTCTGTACAAGCAAATGCCGATGCCAATAGCAAAAAAGTTCGCAAATAAAAGACCTGCAAATAAACTGTCGTACCTGGCACGATCATAACTTTCTTCCGGGACTCAGACTGCAATTGTTCCGCGCACGCATTGTATAAAGCATGAGTTTCCTCCATTCTGCATACCAAAACTCCAAGATACAATATTATAACATTCAGAAACAAAAAAACTCGCACTGGAGAGGAGACGTAATGGAAAAAAGAGCAAAACTGCGCGCAGCGACCCAGGACTGATTTTGCAGAAATAAAAGTGTCTCCAAATCGACACGGAACCGCTTAGTCGTCTACCCTATGCGGTAGCGCCAAGAAGGATCTGCGATACGCACGACCGCCAAGGGTTCTGACTCTTGCCTTTTGCACAGCCCATGTTAAAGTACAGTACGTACGAGTCAGGTAAACTGTACGAGTAATTTTTTCCATCAGATAATTATGGAAACTCAACTTTTAAATCGTAACTGCATAATCGATCAGTGAGTACATATTATTACATAAACATCATCCTATTTCTCAGGAAAAATGTGGACTATGCAGGTCACTGAATTTAGCATTCCACTAATTCTCAACTTCTCATAAACATTAAGCTCATTCAAGGAAAGGCAGGCACAGCCCTTTGGAAAAATTTAATACTAACGAATAGGGTTACTATTTCTTGATGTTTTCTCGATACAGAGAAAACCGTTTTTTAAAAGCGTTGTTGACTGCAGAATAAAGAAAGCCCATCAAATACAACCCACGACGAGGTTCAGAATATCATAATACTATCTGTCAAATAGCAGACAGCGCCAACAACAATAATAGGCTCCAAATACGGTACAGTATGTGAAAAATTAGCGAGATCGTTATTTCTCTTGTGATCCGTCTTCAGAAACATTTTCAGCCCAAATGAGCAACCGGAAAGCAAATGGTCATTAATACGAAGTCACGAACTAACTGCGAGTACAAAAATTTAAATCCCAGACAGGCAACCCAAATGCGCTCTAATTTTCAGTCAAACCCAGTATCAGCCTCCAGCTGTAACTGCATCATGGCATTTATCCGCTTCTGATACTCCTCTGTTTCGGGATTAAATGCAGGATCCCGACAACCCTCTAATTTCGCTTCAATCTTCTTTATTCGGTCTTTATTCGGTACTAATTTTGCCGATTCCTTTACGTGATGACGGATGGCATCGATTACTGCCAAAAGATGAATAATTGTTTGACTCCCGGCGGCAGCATCGTCTTGTTCTTTGGCTTCTTCCGCTTTGTCCATACTATCCCCTGACTCCGCAAATGGCTTACCAATAGGCTTCTGCACTAGAATTTTCTCAACGTAATCTGAAAAACAAACAACCTGGTATTCCAAAACAACGGAACTGGAGGCAAAGAATAAGCAGAAAATTGTAAAACTTGTTTACTTCACTGGTGCAATCACAGCAATTTTACTGTTAATTAACTGGTAAATAGAATGCAACATTATACTACCACCCTAAAGAGCATAATAAACCTCCAAAAATAAAGAAAACGATACCGTACCGAATCGGCAAACAATACGAAATTAGCATTAAACTGAAATAGTAAAACAAACAATCCGAAATCCGTCCTACTATCGGTAAAACTTTGCCTACCAGTAAGATCCTCTTTCAGCTCTTCCGCAGCATGGAACAGTGCTGCCAAAGCGATTTGAGACGGCGACCATAATAACAAAGTATCGGAAAACATAGATCCTTCCAAAAATTTGTCAGCACCAGGCCTCATTCGATCTGGCTTAAAGCCCCGAAGCGGGTTTTAATGTCGATCAGAAACCCTCCATAGCTCGGTACGGCAGATGTACCATTAAATGATAATGAAGTCGCTTCATAACGTACGGCTCGTTATTTAAAATGATATCTATCGCCTTCTGTCGATCACCGCGCAGATGAGCCACAAACTGTTCCATCGTAATATGGTACTCATCAGCTTTCACTGCAATCCACATGCAAGTTATCATCATATTTAGGATGCAATCGCATGACGCTTTCGTTAACGTAAGAACGCTGGAAAAGAGCAAATCCCGTCGCAATCGTGGAGCGTGGCAGTTCCGGTTTAAATTTGGAACAAAAATCTCGCAGCATCGTTTGGTAAAATCGACATAATTCAGCTTCTTCTTCAATGGAAAGAAACATGGATGCAACAGCGGGGTTATCCGGAGTGAGGTCGAGTATCGCTCGCGAGGACTTGACAGCTGAACAGTCCTTGCGGTCCAATCGCTCCTGCACAAAGCGCGGCGAGCTGTTCTCCGATGAGACTGAAGTTCTTCTTCAAAAGTTTCGCTGTGTACTACTGTGATACATGGTTAAAACGAATAACTAATTATAACTTATCCAAAACAAATTAGAGTACGTTGCACAACCAAGAATAATTACTTAGGTGCTTTGAAGAAACTGTTTAAGGAATCTAGAAACTAGGAACAAACAAACTATTGTCACGATGTCACCTATTAATCGTAAATTGTGTACAAACAAACTGGATAAGAACGAAAACACTGACGAGCGACAGTCATTGAAAACAGTAAAAACCGTCTTCCAGTGGGTTTTATTCTTTTAGTTACAGCGTTTAGCACGCTACAGCCATAGTCAGTAACAGCCCTCATGTAATTACACTGGCCAGCTGTGGACAACCGCCCCCAGGCCCTGGGTGAAAGACCAGTCAGTCGGTTTCACCGAGACGCGCCTGGTGAAAGCTTTGCAAGGCTGCAAAGCATGCAAAGTTGCGAAGTGCATACTGCATACACAATTGTTTTTGTGTTTTTTACTGAAATCTGGCTTGTTTTTGTGAAGACTTGGGATTAAATTTGTGAAAGTTTGCGAGATAATTGATAGACTGTTTGGGTCCTTCCGGTGTTTTGAATTTGAGGTTAAAGACTTTGTATCTCATGGGTACCAGCACCTCGAGCCCCGTCGCGGACACCCCTCCAACAGCTTCCCAGGCTGTTACTACGGAGGATCACGATCATCACGTAACCTCTCAGGAAACTTCGCCTTTAAGAGAAGTTCGTGAGATTCAGAGTTCCTATTGCAAGGAGTATGGTAAGAAGCTCATAGGTTGCTTGTGTGACAATGTGATTTAACACTGTTAACAGTAAACAGTCTTGCATCAGTTATTTTATAAGCTTTTCGCTTTCGCATGGGATTCTAATCATAAGAACACAATAAGATTATGGCCTGTTAAAAAATAGCGAACCTAGTTTGCTTGACCATGGCTTGTATTCAACTTTTGGCCAGCAGGATGTTGTGCTTTCTGTGTAATATTAATTTTTCTACATTTTTTTTAATTTCAAGCTACATTATATTCATAGGCAAAGATAAAGTGATTTTCCTGTCGCGTGGGGATTGGGAAAAACCACCGGACTCAATTTCCAGTGATTTTCTGAAAAGGGTTCTGGATGACGATGGTCCCAGAGGTAAATAATAATGTGCCGAAGACTGCTAGTTACATTGTAGCTCTGATTCTTGAATATGGATTTTCGCAATTAGGCGTTGTCCTTCCGAATGGGAAATTAACTGGGGTTGTCCATGTCTCGGAAATCTTACGTATGGGCCGTGTGCGCCCGTTTGGCAGGCCTTTTCCTGCTTCCATTTCAGTACAGCGGAAGCCAAGGGCAGTGACTGTATTGAACAGTTCCGCGCTATGACTGAATGCATGGCGAAATACCCCAATCTGTATCCCATGGGTGGTGATGATGAGGACGAAGACGAGGAAGATGCCTTTGCGACGATCGACAAAGCCGAAAAGCAAGCCGAAAGCGAGAAGAGGTCGAAACGTTCTGTGCCAAATAAAGCGGCATAAAGCATTTCAAATAGCACTGCTTGCTCCGTTTGTTGTTCATAGATTGTTGTTTGACTTGTTTTAACCAAATACCGTAGCGTTCGTTTGCAGTGCAATATTATGTGATTGGGGCTTTGCATAAGTCTCACTGTGGGCGAAATGGGACTTCGCAACCTAATAAACCCGTGGTATAAACGAGGCATTATATCTCCGTAATTAATATTAGATGTGTATCAGATTCAAAATCAGAAATTGTATTATAATTCTTAATTTCAGTGAAAAGTGGTTCTAAGAACGTATCGCTGGCTGGATTCAAAGTCTTTTAATTAGTGTAAATATGCACAGATGTATTGATCTGTGCAGTGTGCACTGGCTGTTGCCGAATAAAATAAAAAGTCTGAAACGAAAATTTAATAACATAAGAGTTAGCCATGGGCGTTCGTATGACTTGTGAGTTCCAATATTGGCTCGTATTCGTTAATGGCTAAGAACAAAAAAGTACGTATGCTTTTCTCATTGTCAACTAATAATTTGTTATCCTTCACTACTAGAACAAAACCGGCAGTTACACGGCTTATTCTTAAAGCTGAATCAGGTAAAAAAATTTTAAAAAGTGTGTTCTCAGCCAGGATCGAACTGGCGACCTTCTGCGTGTTAGGCAGACGTGATAGCCGCTACACCATGAGAACAGAACTGAAGGAAATTGACAATTATTTCGTTCAAACGGCTATATGCAAAGATAACATTATTATCTACACGCAATGATTATTATAGGTTGTGTTTTTAAAGCGCTATTTATACTTTATGACGCTAGAAATAGAAAACCAGCCAGCTCGCTGGCGTGATATTTTTCGACTAAAATTCGCGGTGATGTTATATTTTATAATAATAATGAAGTTCAACTGTGACGTTTGCGGGTAGTCGCAGTACCTACTCCACTGTCGAGTGTGGAGGACAAACCTACCGCGCATTTTTAATGAGAAATTTGCAGCAGGCAAACATCGATAGTCGATACATAGTTCGAAGTTTTAAGCACTGGATCGCCACAAAGGCAGCGCGTGCCGGTTCGAAAACAGTGCACACTATTCCGTACTCCGCCTCCTTTTATTGTAAGCGCCTCCATGCTGCACATTACCCTTATACGATTTCGTTCACTTTAACTTGTAAGTCACAAAGTTCCTCACAATTTTGTAGTTCGTGCAACCGGAAGTGACTTTCGTTCGAACTACCGAATTACTGTATATATTCGAAGGATGTAGCCCCGGAGGTTAAAATTATAGTTGCTCGGTGCTCGCGATCGCTTACATTCTAGAACGACTAATACACCAAAGAAAGGACCAGTGCAACAATTTGGTTCCCAAAATTTTTAGTGTACATATTGCTCTAGGAATTCATTTAAATAAATAGAAATGGATACTCCACGCATGCGCAGCGGGAATACATCTA